TGATATTCTAAATATAAAATGATAAAATGGAAATGGTTGATCCAGTCTAATTCACAACTTACAACTTGCAGATCCATGATTGACATGCCTTTTGGCAGCAGGCTGAAGCTGCGAGGTCCAGCAGATCCGGATTCTTCTGTGGTTAACTTCTTCCTTAGGTGAGGCATAAAATTAAACTACTTGTTAATAAGTCTCACAGGATGACCCATAGGAAGAGTCTTACTGCATACCGACATATGCTTTCAAAGATGGTGACTCATTAACAACTGATTTTAGTATTTAATTGCAGTACTAATTTGTTTTAAAATTTTGTACTTCAACTTCTATTTGTTTTATTGCAGGTTGAAAAAATATTTCCTGTTGTCCATCTTCTCAACTACTTTCTTCAGTGGCATGTAAGTTCCTTGCTCTTATAAATGAAGAAAATAAAATCTAAATTGTCAGTAATTAGACTTGGCAAGGCTGAAGTGACCTTGATTCCAAAATGAAATTTAAAAATTTTTCAACCACTACTCACGCTTGACTACCTCAAGTTAAAAGTGCTTGTGGAAGTTTTTTTAACAAATGGTGGAAGATCAAATGTTCTTTGTAAAACGCATAGCTAGCATATCTCGCTGTGTGCCTGATAAGACCAACACTTCAAGATGCAAATTTTATTGCAAATTTATAAAGTTTATTAAACTACTTGCAGAAATATTAATTGATATGTTATCTTTCAGAATTGACATCTCCCAGAAAGATCTAGGATCACTTGTGTAAGGTGTGTATCGTGGCCAATCCTGGACGCATTTTGTTATTAAATGATGAGTAATTTCGCCCCTATCCTAGTTAATCATGCAGAGTTGCATTGGTCTTTCTGAAATCATATCGTATAGTAATGAAAGAATTTATGGTGTAGTATTTGGTTGTGAAGATTTTTTTCATTTTTCCAGGTTTCCTGACTGTGAACTGAACTGGTTCTGCCATGAGTTTTCTGCCATGAGTTTGAGGTTAGTACAGTTACATATATTAGATTTCCTATGTTAGTATGATGTTTACAATGACAAGCATATATCTGAAACTTGATGTCAATACCATAATCTGATAATTAATTATTTTAAGCAAGTCCTTGCTACTGCAAGAATTCCATCTAAACTATACTTTTTTTACTCCAGGTCTTGCAATGATTCTATCCAGGAAAATGGCTGAAAGGTAGATATTTTAATTGCTTTGTGACCCCTCACATTAATATGATGATTGTTCTCACAGACCTGTTCTGAAAGTGATGTAGACACTGAACGGCCATCTGATTGATAATGTATTCAGTTGGTTGTATACTTCTGGCTTGTGCTTCCATCTAAACTATACTTTTTTTTTCTCTCCAGGTCTTGCAAAAATTCTATCCAGGAAAACCTCTGAAAGAAAGGTATGTATATATTTTAATTGCTTTGTGACCCCTCACGTTAATATGATGATTGTTCTCACAGACCTGTTCTGAAAGTGATGTAGACACTGAACGGCCATCTGATGATGTATTCAGTTGCTTGTATACTTCTGACTTGTGCTCAATTTTAAATGGTTTCAAACCTTTCAGGCTTGAGGCAAGTGTTAATGAATTTGACACAAGTCGACATAAGGAAGTGAACCACAAACTAAGGTGAGTAACCATATGATTACTTTTATTAGGATCAAATTTACTGAAGTCTTGTGTATTCAGGACCAATCTTGCATGGATTGAGATGCAACAAATTTATCCTGCAGAATTAAATGCCTTATGTTTTGCTTCAACTTTGCATTGACATCATCCCAAGTTTTTTAGTCAAAATTTTAAAGTGAAATAGTTTTTATGATGAATGTATACTGAACTGATTTAATGATGTTATCAGTTACGGATCTACTGAAGAGCATCTTAAGAATTAAATTCTGCATTATCATAAGCACAGGTTAAAATATATTCTTCCCTTTGCAGGCCATTTGGATATTGGTATGGCCAATTCACTGGAGTGGAAATCTTGATGCAGCAGTACAAATTCTCTTAGTACCTGAGGTCCATGATGTAGGGGGACCTATCCAGGGAAGGCACTGGCTTGCTCAAGTCCCAGAAGGCCAGACTGGTGCAGTGGATTTGTGGGTAGAATAAACCCTTCCTGTTTTATACCAATAAAAATTACATGCTTCAAACTTGCACTCTTAATAAACCTATTCCATCTTCGTATACATGTATTCTTGAAATTTGAACACAGGAATGTAGAAAAGGCTAGACCATGCAAGCATAATTTTAAAATTCGGTTTACCCTGATTGTTTCACTAGTTTTCTTTACTAGTGACGGTGTCCCATTTATAATTCCTTCCCTACTCGGCCTTGCCGGGAGGCGTGTATAAACATGCAGTATCCTTCATGTGGACATCACTTGGCAAATGTATGGGGAATCGACACTAAGTTTAAACCTAAAGTGGAAATTCTGGAAACTAAATTCACTCGTGCATATTTGTTAAACTAATTGAAAAGGTTAAATTGGATACCAAGTACGAGCAAGTGCTATATAATACAGATATGAACCTGTTGTACCTTGGCTTAACTTCAGGCTTGAGCAGAATGGTGCGCACAATGGCAAATGGCGCAGAAAGTTCTGAGGTTTCCCAGATGTACCTGGTGATCATGAACACGCTTTGTAAGGGCTTGGAAAGCTTTCGCATAACTTAATGTTTAGTACGCATACAGGTGGCTGGCTTCAGTAAGGGAGGTCGATTTTTACTTTTAAGATCCCTCATCCCCTTAATTCAGGTAAGATTGCCATTATTGCTAATGGTATGGTTGAACAATTTGACGTCCATAACTCTTCGAGGAAATTCAAGGAATGGGGTGGATAGTTTGGATAAAATTGGCTTGTAGACTAGACACTTGTTGAACCGATGTACTTCATTTGGGGCCGGGCATTATTTTTTTTTTTTACACAAGGCTTATTCACCATTACTAGGTCTACCTACAAACCATTTTCATCGCTTTCCTTGATTATCAGGATTATTTGTTAGAATTTTAATGACATGATCAAACCTATTGTAAGAAACCATTTTTCCTGAAAATTTAAAGAATGGGTAAATGACCTGAGCTCATGTAGGGTCTACCAATAGACTCCTTGTTGGCTGGACACTTATGGAGCCATCTGTGGGCAACAAAGTTGACTCGACTACAGTGAACAATATATCTGCAATCTGGGTTTTTAAGGAGATAAAACAATAATTGTTTAAGCAGAGTAACCAGGAAAACTGAAGCCAAAATGAGGCCTTTATTGTAGCATCTTTGAAACCCCTAACATTCTTAGACATGTTTGACCTTTACGAGGACATGACTGAAACTTGTTGAAACCCCTTTTCGTCTTGTATGCTTCTAGCCCTATGGTCAGCCAATCAAAGCGCGATATTTTTCAAATCTATTTCACATACGTCTGAGATAACGATTTATAATGTAATTAAGTACAAATCTTTGCCTATGTTTCTCGATATATAATTCATATCTAAAGATGCATAAACTTTATGCCTTATAAGCATTACATCAAATACATGTTCAGTCTATATATGTAAGCTTTCCAAGTCAGCAACGACAATTATATGGTGTGACATTGACTAAGATAGGATATTTTCAAAATCACACTCCCCTCCCCACTCCGATCCAATGTCTGTTGTGACCGTGAGAGGGAGAATGGGACCCAGTGCTGGGGATCACCCATGCCCTGGACATCACTGATTTCGTACGGTCTTTTCTGCCCCTTTGTTTCTTACTCTTCTCTAACCCCTACCCCTATCCACTTCCTTAGGTGTGAGGGCCGTGTTGGAAGGTTGACTTTATGCCAGTCATGAACGACATGTAGGAGCCATGGGCACAGTATTCCCCTGTTTAGTTGTCAAGTCCTTACTCTGATGGGTGGACTGTCTCTCTCCCTAACGTACTCCAGGCTTACCATGGTTAGTAATGAAGGTTTTGCATCCTTATTAGGGGCACTTAAGCTTGCCCTTTTATCAAATAGCTCCATTGATTTCAATTCTCCCGATTCCCCGACACAAGGCTCTCCTTTGACCACGACTCTGAACGCTGCTACTACTGCCCCCTCCTCAATACCTGCTATCACCTCAGCCCAGTCCAAATCATACACCCAGATTATTGTTCACCTCTCCGCATTACTACCTCTCAACATTGCACCATCTTCGACACGTCCTCGTCCTTCGACTACCCAACTTCTTTTGAATACTTTGTTTAGCCCAGCCAAATGGGATCGATTTCTCGTGAACCCCTATACTCGTACAGCCCCTTACTCTGACAACTCTCTTCTTCCAGGAATGCCTCCAAAAACAAGCAGGCAAAGTTTTCCGCCTTGTCACCATGACGGCCGAATCCCAATCTAAAAAATATAATCCTAACTAACGTCATTGGCAAATTCCTTCCTATCCAGTCTCATCCCTCCCTCAGTGCTCATATCGGAACTTCTTCCATCTCCCCGACAAACTGCCATATCTACAAGGATTAGTCAGCTTGTGAAGACCTCCTCGCCTGACTCATAGACTATGATGCAGTTTGAGTAAAATGTACCATTCCCCGAGATGCTGCCGAAGTCCGTAGACATGACCTTCCCTTGATGTTTAATCAATCTCTAAATCGAGAGATCCCAATCTCTACCAATATTCCAGATACTTCACTCTCTACTTCCCCGATACCTGCCCCTTTTCCTCGTTCAACTCATCGCACAGGACAAGCTAAACGTTCTACTCCAACTTCTACGTCAAACCACTCCGTTGTCTGTCCTCTTTTTTTCCCCTTCACAAGAAAAACTCTGCTTCTCAGACCTCCTTAACTAACTCCACATTCCAAACTCTCGAAGACATTCAAAACATCTAATCATGAAACAAAATAAGATGCCTACACCTCATCCATCCTCCTCTCTTTCTGTTCCCATTCCCTCTACACTCAAAGTAACTGCCGACATCCATCCTCCTCTTACTCATGTTCCTTCTACATCCCTTACTCACACTCCCTCCCTCCTCCCCTATTTCATCTGTATCAACATGTGACTCTGCCACACCAGCCCCCTCCCCTGGATTCTCTACCTCCTAACATTTCACCTGAAACTGTGATCTAATCGCCCTTAAGCTCCTATTTTCCTTTTGCTAAGCCATAACTACAGAAATTTTCCTTTGGCAACTTTTCTCAATCTTCGCCCATTTACTCACCCTCTCTACCCTCACCTCTTTTGCCCCTTTCAGTGCTGTACTATCCTGAACTGCTGTACGACTTTCAACGTGTAGCACATTTATTCATCAACTAACCCTCCCCTTTACTCTTTTCACTACTACACCTTTCCATAGCGCTGTGTGACCTTTGAAGTCTAGCACATTTTTACTTAGTAACAGTTAACCATTCACTGCAATGATGTAATCTAACAGACTAAAAAAAAAATCGAAAGAGAGACCGTACGTCTTTATATGTTGGCATATTACAGGACCTAAAACAAGTAAATGTCTGTGATCATTGGAATTCTCCAGTTGAGTGAGATATGGACTCTATTGGGAACTTGAAGGTGACTCGCGGTGGAAATGATAAGATATAAAACTCCAGTGCTCATACTTCCACCTTCCATAGGAAAAGACAATGGCTGTAATAAAATAATAATTGAAATAAAATAATGCTTTCTCTGAAGCTGAGAAATACATTTGAAAGTTTCCACAACCTTGCGATGCAGTGTGTAAATACGGTATGCCGATGATATTCAGGTCATTTGAAGCTTCGACTATTTTTTTTTTTTTTTTTGTATGTTATAATTAATTTAATTGTTTTCTACTGACTTTTTTATGTGAAGTCATACCATGTATCAAAATGTGTCTCGGGATGTTGGAGAAAGACCTGTAATATAAAGAATAAGCACCTGAGATCTGGCACCAGATTGTAAGCAAGCAAACCTCCCTACGATAGAACTACTAGCATCCAAAATCAACTTTTTAAAATGAGTATATATATACATTGCTGTAGGAGAATGTTTTTTTAAAAAATGCATATGACTGCATTTTCAACAATCCCAACAATATTTGGCAACAGAGGACTGACTCTCCATTTTGTTTCTCATTTGCTAGTATGTACAGACTTTCGCATATATATACGTATATGCATATATGTGTCTGTTTACCGAGAAATATATCCATCTAGGAATAAATATAGAAATATTTATATAAACTTATGTTTAGAAATGAATATATATATATATATATATATATATACATATATATAAATATATATATATATATATATATATATATATATATATATATATATATATATATATATATATATATATATATATATATATATATATTGTATAGAAACATATCTCTATCTACAGACAATACACACATTGATATATCAAGGGAACCCGTTATTCGCCATTTCATTTTTTCGTCATCGCGTTTCACTCTTTTGTCGTTAAGACTCCGAAAGTATATGCATGTATGTAAACACATAAAAAACAAACATATATAGAAGAATCCACATTGTGAAATCAAGGAAGAGTAAAATAAGAACATGAATTTCAGAATATGCATAGGCCTACCACACACTGAAAGCCTGTGCACTCTACCGACGAAAACCAGCGTACGTAAACAGTATTAGTGTGTCTACTTTCCAGCCACACCAGGACACTTAGGCGCTGTTGAGTGGTAATGTTGATCTACCTCCTGAGCTGTTCATTGAAAAACAGCTGATGCAAACTGCTGTTGAGTGGTAATGATGATTTACCTCCAGGACTGTTCATTGAATAACAGCTGATGCAAAGCCAAACAAGCATCGGCACGGTAAGTTGACTCTCGATTAGAAGATGGAAATTATAAAAAGGTTTACAATAAATAGGCGTCATATCGGACATGGAGTGCATGACGATCATCACCCAGCCACCCCAACGCTTGTTTGGCAAGAAACCTGGTTGAAACTGAGTCTACCTGTGCATAGCCTGACCTTCGTTACCGTAACCATCCTTATGTGTACCATTTTCACAACATCCAACGTTTGTATTTCTCATGAGTGCGTTTGTGTGTGTGTGTGTGTGTGTGTGTGTGTGTGTGTGTGTGTGTGTGTGTGTGTGTGTGTGTGTGTGTGTGTGTGTGTGTGTGTGTGTGTGTGTGTGTGTGTGTGTGTGTGTGTG